GTCAGATATATGTCAGTCAGGTATAGGTATGTTTTATTTTTTATTATGAACAGCCTCTGTGGCCGACCGGTTACCATGCTGGTTTGCCACGCAGAGGTCCCGAGTTCGATACCAGAGCCGAGAGAAATATTTGTATGGCCTACATTTACTTCTCTCGTGAGTTGTGGTGTAATTTATGGTTGTCTATGTGTGTGCCCATGTCGCCCGCGGCACAGGGTTTTCCTAGTGCGGGGCTATGAGTGTGTGCGTGATTGTATAAAAATATAATAAAAGTAAAAAAAAAACACAAAATAGTGGCAACAAGAAATTGTAAAGCTAAATAGCTCCACAATAACATAAATTAACAAAATTTACAATAGCGGCTATGAGTTGGTAGGGTTCCAGCCCGAAAACAGTTTGCAAGCGGAGATTGTAGCTAGACCCGCTCCTTATTTTGTTGACCCTTTGGTTTATAATAATAATACATTGACAAGAACAAGCGATCTGTAGGAGGCCGCCACTGACCGCCTTTGCCTACACGCAATAGGAACCCTTACGGTATAAAGGCGTGAATTTTATTGATAAATGTGGCCTCTAATTAGCAATTTGGGATAATACTCTGGGGAAAAACTGCTATATTTTCTTTACAAACCAAAATAAATGTGTCACGGCCATGTTTGCTGTGGGTCAGTGAGAGAATTGCGTACCTTGCTTTAGAAAACTTAAAATCGTAGCACTACCATCGTCCATAAACCTAGGTAGTTTTAATTTAGGCGCCCATTGCTGTGCCGCGCCACTGGCCTGACGATGTCAGCAGAACTCTAAGTACTTCTTCCTTTCACTTTAGACTAAAAATGTCGCAAATCCAGCGCTCTTTTTTAATTTATTTGTTTTTTACAAATTTTAAATAATATTATTATTATACATGTAGGTAGTATTATTTTTATTTATTATTAGCATAATATACCAAGATAAGTGCAGTAACTTCAAACAAACGAGGCAACGCGGCTTGTATATAGGCACGCCCGCCGCTTGCCGTGTACGAATGCACACATTCACATACTTTCGCGGTGCACTTGCGTTGCGTAACGCGGGTCGTCACAAGCGCCATTATTTATAGAACTGAAGCGGTCGCTCAGTGTTTAAAAAATGGATTCAAGTAATAGATGTGTTTATTGTTGTGTTTGTGGTAGTTTGAATGTGCCTCAAATTCAGAACTGTTCAGTATTTAATTTCTATTTCATAATCGTTCTCCATAATAAACATACCAATTCGCGACCTTGATATAAAAAATATCAATATCTAAGTACGTACTGTAATTTAACAAAGGTTATTTCAACAGTTGTTAAATGCAATGCTTTGTTGAACTAAGTTCCTCTCGTGCACGAGAGCCACATTTTAGTTATTTCAAATTATGTTTACAACCTGTAGGTATGTACAACTAAAATGTAAATGTAACAACCTTACGCGCTGAGCGTTGTGTACGGATTTACGGAAAAAAATGGCGGGTTTTTATTGCTACAGTTTTCACATTAACTAAGTTTTAGTTTGCACAAGCCTAGTAGCCACCATTAAGGAAATAACAATAATAATTTTTACTTCGTTACGTTTTGTGTTTGTTAGTTATTTAATACCTTTTAAAGCTGATGGCTCTACTGCCAACGCTCCATAAATAAATAAAAATACTTATTTACGCGCCGAATAGGCGGGAATTGCCCATCTTGCTCTTATTATACTTACTATGTTATTAGTTTGTTTATTAATACAATTTAATACATTTGTTTATTCTACATTGACATTGAAGTTCTTAATTGACGTATAATGAAAATTATCAATAAATTTTTATGATTATGATTAGCATTGACCAATAGGGTTTTATCACAAACATAGACTTCATCAACCCTATTTAAAAAAGAAGTAATTCTTTGTGGTGTTGTAATAAAATCACAGAGACTTCTCGTTCTCGTATTTTATTCTTTTTAACAACTTCCTGAGCTACCTCCGTCTTTTAAGTATGGTAATAATCACATTTATAACCTTTGTTGGAACAGCGATTATGAACAAACGAAGAATTGTTCTGTAGCCTAGGTTTAGGGAAAGGAGAACGCTCGGTCTATTAGATTTATATTCATTTTCTCTTCTATCATTTTTGAGGTACAAGAGATGATAGAAGAGGAAATGGAAGTATCAAAATGGCCTATATAACTGTATAATTTTAATAATTATCGACGTGAGTTTAACAATGAAAGTGATTTATGATTTATTGGCGCGTCTTCTCGTTTCAAGAATTTTGATGGGATTGACGACGGATCGAAATAACTTAAGAAGGAGAGAAGGAAAAGGGAATCCGAACACGATTCAAAATTGTAATAAGTGTTCATGCGTGAGCAGCCACCCTTAGAGTTGTATGATTTTCTTTAAAGTAAATGGGACCATGATGGAGGTACCCTTTTTCCAACAAAAAAAGAATCATGAAAATCGGTTCACAAACGCCGGAGCTATCGCGTAACATACATACAATAAAAACATATAGTCAAATTGAGAAACTCCTCCTTTTTTTAAAGTCGGTTAAAAATAAGTGGCCAGGAACCAGAAAATATTTCAAAATATGTTCCAACTAATCACAATTCTTTTAAAACTATATTGTAATTTAATCGTTGACAACAATTAACAAGTGTAGAGACGCTGAAGTATTTTTATTGCGGATGATATCTAGGCACTTGCCGTTGATCTATTTATACGGACAATTTCACGAACTTATTCCACCATAGAAATTCTATTGCTGATTTTATTTTTGAAGTTGGTATTCATTATTCAGGCATATAACGCCGTAATATTGTTTGAGAAAATTATTTCATTTATTGGTTCAGGCGGCCTCATTAAATTTGTTTTTCCGCTTGAACTATAGTGTCAAAAGGACAGACGAGATGTAGAAGGAAATTTTTGACAATATGGCGTCACTGCGATTAGCGACAGAGACGCTTAGAATGATAAATTCCTAGATAGGAGTCCCTCGGAGTTAATTTCGTTACTCAAGTAGTACTAATACAGGGAACTTTAATTTGACATCTGGTAATTGGTATGTTTGTCTGCCGTATTGCTATTATTATTTCAATATTTGTTTTTGTATCTTACTACTAGAAATCGGAATGGGCAAACTGTGAACCTGAACTTTAGGGAAGTTTTGCACACGGAGTAGATAACTCCTTCTGAAATACCGGAAATTTTTGTATAGTATTTTGTTCTATATTTTACTACGAATTATTTTACTATTGTATTTACAAGAAAATTTTTTAATTAATAGTAACTATTTTCAATATTTATTTGTATTGAATATCATGTCGTTTTCACTATCATGATATTCGTACGTAGATTTTTTTTGTGACAATATACCAATAGTATGTTATTATTATTAGTTTAGTTTAGTTTATTTCTCTCAACATTATAAATTTCATACAAATACAATTACATGTAATTTTATAGTACTCTTCTAAAAGTGAGCATCAACTTTACAAAATAATGAAGTTTATAAAATAAAATTATATTATAGTGAATCATAAGTACACAATAGTGTACATGTACAAAATCAAACATAATTAAATTAAGCTAATAAATAATTGAATTAGACTAACAATGTCAAGTGCATACAGAAAATGTCAATATGGATTCTTAATAACAAATAAATGTATTAAGATGTATAAAGAATGTATTATAAAGAATGTATTACAGTATAATAATACGATGAATGTCAAATTTATTAATAAATATAATAATTTATTATTATTAATTTATTATTAGTGTAAAGTTTTTTTTATAAAACCAACTGATTGACGATGAACTGATGAACTCTGGACGAACATTTTAACAAAAAACTCTATTGCAAGTAGTGTATTGAACAACACTATTAATAATTCTATAATAATAACTGTTTTGTTCTGATTTTACATGCATTTAGATCCTTCGTTCTTTAGTTTTTTAACGGCGAAGGAAGGAAGGTGTTTATTTTACTTTTATGTTTTGTTGTGATTATAGTTAATTACCGAGTTGTTAGGTTTTCGCAATTACTATATATGGGAAATGAAACCATTTTTTCGGATCTAAGGTGCGCATGTATGTTCATTTCAAACAAGCGTACGTTTTGGACTATTTACAGGTAACGACTTTCAGTTAATTAATTTGTTGAAATTGTAATATAGTATTGCAATCGGTAAATATTCTAATTAAATTCTAGATAAACATCCTGGGCAACGGTCAGCGGACAGCGAGTCGGTAACACAGCCTCGCCGAACCTCCCATCACGACACAAACACAAAAAATATTCTTCTTTTTCTTCTTCAATTCTCTAATAGCTGAATTGAATTATGCTAATTTGTAATTATATATTATTTCAAGTGAAAAGGGTAGACGAACAGCTACAATTTTATTGCGTTTATACAAAAGATATCAACGTAATCGAAGTCGCTTTAAAAACAATCCAATTAATTTTGTGTGTACGTGTTTAGATATTATTTATTCCAAATATACAACACTATGTATATTAACATATAATAAAGTAGGTACAAGAGACTAGATACAGTAGGCTCTATTAATTTTTTCGAATAAATGAAATATGCGAATAGGTCTTTTTAAAGTAGCAATGGACGCAGATAAGGTACCACAACATTTGTTCTGTGAGAGAGTAACACAGGGAGTTACATATCAAATTTAAGTTGAATAGGTAGGTGTGTTAGGTAGTTTGAATTTTAAGTTATTTATTGGACACAACAGACATTCATCAGCGCTAGAGCGGAGACGTCGAAGATGTAGCGGAGCAAGCTGTTTTCAGGGACGAACAATGTACCATAATAATTATAACGTTTTATAGAAATCCCCTCAAAAGTTTATAAACATTTGTTTTTGTTTATTTATATCTATAATATAAAATAACGAAATATGTATAACAATAACGATAGAAGGATAGAAAGATGGAAAGATAATTTGTGTACGGAGATTTACTAATGCGGTTTTAGACTATCACTCACCTGTGTTATCCTGTAAAGATCGGGGCGGCGCGGGCGGCGTTGCTCCGTGCTCTGTGTACAAACCGCCGAACTCCTCTGCAGATGACGATGATGCATTGCTACACTTGCGGCCTTTATCTGGTGTATATTTGCTCTCACCCCCGGACGGTAGAAACTTGTTATCCGACTGGTGTTCGTCTAACAGTCCTGGTACTCCGAGCAGTCCTCCCACGAGATTCGGCCGCAGCTCCTCCATGATCTTAGAACCTTGGCCGCAGCCGCCTCCACCGGTGAAGTTGAGCTGGCGGCTGAAGAACGCCGGGAAAATGTTGAACTGTTGGGGGTCCGGCAAAGCAGACAGAGGCGGCGCGGGTGGCTCGGCGGCCCCCGCGCACGCCGCGCTCTTGAACTCCACCGTGCTGCTGGCGGTGCGTTGGCTGAGCGACGGGCGCAGCTCGTCAGCCGCGCTGCGAGCCTCGTGGTGCGGATAGTGCGCGCTCCCGTCTCCGTCGGCGCGACTCCGGCGTTCACTGACTAACCACATTATAGTGCCGCCGCGCGCGATGCCGTGCTCGCCGCACGCCGCCCCGCGCGCTAATTGTTCGCGACTGCGCGAGACACCACCACGTTGCCGCCCACGGGACAGAACGAAACGCACGCATCTCCTACCCCCATAATCGATGTAAAATCTTTATAAGGATGCTGCGTCTCGCTCGCTGACGAGGGGAGGGTGGCCGGGGGCGGTCCGTATGGCCAATGGGGTGCTACGCTCGCTATGATTGGCGCGCTGTTGCCCGCACCACTTCCACCGCTTCGGGCCAGAAAGCCTTTTCTTTGTTTTATTGTCTCCATGATTCCTCGTCGATCCTGCGCTTAAAGTTTATGCATTGTACCATGTTTTATTTTACAAAACGCAACGTCATGTATGAACATCTCGAGGTAGAACGTGAGACCGAGACGATTTAAGGTTCAAATCTGAGTGCATTGTGTTGGTGGTGGTGCCTTTGTAGAACCTAAAAGCGTTAAACTTAAACAGTTATTCTAGTTTCATGATTAGATTTTGATTGATTTGAATTGGAAGTGTTTATGTTTATGTCACAGAAATACTTGTTATTAGTAGGTAGTATAAATGTGAACGACGGATACTACATTATTTATTCCTCGAACACAGCGCTCAGTAGCCGACGGCAAAATTAGGGTTGTAAACCACCACCTCTCAGATAGATAATGCAAAATTTATTTTTATCGGGTGATCAGTTAAGTTAAATCAAATTGTCATAGTTTTATTTTGATTTTTTTGTTTTGAATTTTACCTTTACATTTTATTTAAGTAATAAAAATTTATGTTTATTAATTATTACCGACGATAATTTATAAGCTCTAGAATTAAGACATCAACACCGTCGAGCTTCATTGGAAGTAGACTTGAGTAAACCAAGTAAGCGTGAAACGCAATGTAAGGGAGTAGTAAATCAGCAGTAGAGCTCCTTGAAAACGAGTTCGTGTAAGGAAGAACCTACCTACTTCTGCCACCAAGTAGTAATTTGAGCACTACTGTTTTTGAAAGACAAGTGTACTGGTGAAACTACAGACATATGGTGTCAAGTCTTTCGGTGACGGGTGCAGTGGCAGTGGCCCTCAGATCTTTGCGATTCAAAGCTCTGAGTGGCACTGCAACTATTATGAACACGCTTACCCCCAGGCGTACGAAAAAGAAAATTAAAACATTATTTTTTATCAAAACCTAAATAATATTTCTTTGCGTAAAACGCACTCATACAGGAATATTCAATGCTGTAATATAATCCTTTAAAACAGCAACTGCGACAAGTGTATCAACAATGCATATTTAAAGATAACATCTTGCAATGCAACCCTTCCTCACCCCTAGTAGACTCAGTGGTTAGATACCATGAATATCATTAACGGTATCAAGTTCAATACTCGAGTAAGCAGATGAGATAATAGATAACTCAATATTCAAATAGAATGATAAAATAAATAGAACGATGAACTCGGTGGCCCAACGTTTTCTATGGTCGCTGAATGAGAATGTCCCGAGTTTGATTCCCGATAAGACCAATTTCGGAAATAAACTTTCAATTGTCATGGTCTGAGTATCTTGGGCGGCGAATTCCGTTGCTGTTATTTATAGTACATTTAGTGTCCTAGGCCCGTAGGCCCTGTAATTGGTATCGTCGCCTGACACAATGTTCGTCATCTTCATTGTATACAACCTGACTTCACCTTGGGTATAAGCCTCCAAGTTGCCGCCAAGCAGTAATGTTAGTATAATTACGTTCCGGTTTAGAAGGGTAAGGGTGCTGGTGAAATTACAGGCACATGGGACTTGTCAACTTATGTCTGAAGGTGACGGGCGCAGTGGCCCTTTAGATCTTTGCGAATTAAAGCTCTGAGTGGCACTGCAACTATCATGGACAGGCTTCCCATCAGGCGCACGACCTGTTCGTCCCGTCGCTTGATATTAGGTATATAAAAAAATTAAGAAGTTCATGTACCATTCCCCACGGCCCTGTGCTAGTCTCACACATTGTTGTAATGAGTAAATTTAATCAATGGTCACCACATAAGTTTTGAATGTGAAATATCAAAAGTATTCGTTCAATACAAAAAAATGAGATTGCATTTTAATTGAAAGGATATTTAAGTTACTATTTAATAGCTATAGGAGCATAACCCTAGACGCGGCCCTCAGAGTAAATTTTAGACTTTTAATAGAATTAATGTTTTATTTCTTTCTCTTTTGTTACTGAATATACTTCCAGTGCATTATTTTCTCTATTTAACATTATTTGAATATTTAAATTCAATCAACTGTATACTGACTGCAGAAAAAATTGTAAACAAACTGTGCAGAATTATTTTCTAAAGACTGAGCTTCAAAAATCATTCAAGTTTGAAGGTTAACGATTGTTTTGAATTTACTTAATCTAACTGTATTTGTGTTTTAATATTTTTACTAGAATGAATGCTGTATTATTGATGCCGAAAGGTTTGTGATTCTATTTCGAGTTTAAGAAACTTTATTCTCGTAAGAATTTACAAATGACTTAAATGAGAACTTACTGATCGACTAAAGGATTGAACATTAATATACGCGTATAATATTGTTGTATACGCGAACTTGATGCATTCTTAACAAATACCTATCTCTAGTTTATTTACAAATAACAAACTGAAATTATTATTTACCATTTATTTACCAATCATCATTTTTTTATCATACCAAGGGACGGGCTGAACAAGTTGTGGGCCTGGTGGTAAGCGACAAGCTTGTCCATAACAGTTGCAGTGCCACTCAGAGCTTTAAATCTGAGGGGCACATGTGTTATTAAGATAAAAAATGTATAAACTGTATGTACGTTATACTCTAAGATACAAAAAAAATACTTATAGTGCGGTATAAATTTCAAAAATTTCGGAGTTATTCACTAATCAATAACCATCACTTTGAACTATTAAGAGACGATTAATAACTCAAGTAACTAGTATAAATATAAATTGCCTCAGTTGCTGAACGGTTACCACGCCGGACTGCCATGCAGAGGTGCCAAAAGTGGTGCAAAGATTGTATGGCCTACTATTTCTCTCGTGAGTTTGGGTGTAATTTGTGGTTGTCCATGTGTGTGTCCGTGGCACTCGCGCCACAGGGTTTCCCTAGTGCGGGGCTATGTCGAGTGTGTATTATTGTTATTATTATTAAATAGTTAGCCTATTATATATGGTCCTACTGCTATGCGCAGGCCTCCTCTCACTGCGGATTGGGAACTTCGCACACATTATTAAATTGCTTTGCAGATTTTGTGTGCAGGTTTCCTCACGATATTTTTCTTCACCAACAACCTCATGGTAAATTTCCCACGTAAATCGGAAATCTTGAAGATGCAAAGCCCGGATTCGAAGTCACGCCCTCTGCTTTTAATTTAACTGCCTCCTCCTGGCCGTACGGTTTCCATGCTAGATTGCCAAGCAAAGAAATATTTTTATGGCCAACCTTTATTTCTCTCGTGAGTTTGGGTGTAATTTATGGCTGTCTATGTGTGTGTCCATGGCACCTGCGATACAGGGTTTCCCTAGTGCGGAGCTATGAGTGTGTGCGTAACTAGTAACAATCGTAATTAAGCAAGTCTGTACTAAATCAACAAGATAGCTCAACACATAATTAATATACTAGACAAAGTACCAACTCACGAGTAAAACTAAATGGAATACATCTCAAGCAAAGTTTAAGGAGCGAGGAGGAGGGGAATGAAATGTCTTAAAACTTTATTAGTAGTTTTAATTGACTTGCAGAGCTCCTTGAAGATAGGCACAGAGTTAGCTCCGTTTCACTGGCTAGATAAATGCTCGATACATATGCATGAGTGTATAAGTTTACCTTATTGGGACGGTAGAATGGACGAATTTTGAACAGTTTGCTGTATTGAAAATCTTTCTCCAGTATTCTACTGCTCCACGTTGGCTCTTTTACATATTCAATCATTAATAATAATCCATATTAATCCATGCCTATGTTTCTTTTGTGCTGGTGAATTGTGAATGGCGATCGCACGCAGTTGTAACTAACTAGCTTCCTTGCTTTTGAAACTTCATTTTTATTTTGTATATATTATCCTGCTTATAAAATTTTCTTTTCATTTTTTTGTTCTTTGTTAGTAGTGAAGTTGGCTGTTGTTTGTTGTTTATAAAAACTGGAACTATACTGGATTATGTAACAAATTTTGAATGTACCAAAATTAAATGTAAACCACCTCTCTTTGTGTTCTACCAATCATATTTTATAACCTTATTGTAATATACTTAGTTATTGTAATTGACTAAGCTATTGTTATTTTTAGGCAACACACTTGACGGACGTAAGACCTAGCTACCCATGTACAGGGGATCCTAGTTTGGGAGATAGGCACATCTCTGTACCTATTTTTCTGTGTTTGCAATGAAAATTATTATTACTAATTAAAAATAGTTACTCTACTCGCGATACAGGGTTTCCCTAGTGCGGGGCTATGAGTGTCTGTGTTATTGTTATTATTACTAATCAACCCTGTATAACATTTGTATTCGAGTTAGTTTACTTAGTACTAATTAAATTATAATTAACAGTACAATACAACAGTACTTAATTGTACAGAAGAATGAAATACAGAGACAAAAAAAACCTAACACACAACAACCTAACACAAACCTATATGTTATTAACCTTAACTGCCTCCGTGGCCGAACGGTTACTATGTGGGACTGCCACGCAGAGGTTCCAGGTTCCATACCTGGAGAAATATTTGTATGGCTTTCATTTATTTCTCTCGTGAGTTTGGGTCTAATTTGTGGTTGTCTATGTGTATGTCCATGGCACCCGCGACTCAGGGTTTCCCTAGTGCGGGACGATGTTATGTTGTGTGTGTGTGTGTGTGTGTGTGTGTGTGTGTGTGTGTGTGTGTGT